AAGAGTTGGACGCTTAACCGACTGAGCCACCCAGGCGCCCTGAGTTGGATTCAGGTCTCCACCCTGGAGATCTCACCCATCAAAGAGAGGCAGACGTGGAAATAACCATAATACGATCCAAGTTCAGTGGTGGCGTTACATACATGCTCTGAGAAGTCAGGAGAACAAATGATTAACTCATCTGAGGACTTCATTTCGGGTGAAATTTAAGGACAATTGAGGGTCCGGTTGAACGGGTCTTTGAAGGATGAATAGGAGCTTCTGAGCAGGAGGAGACGCACAGGCGTCTCAGGCAAATGAGCCCCAACAGGCAGGCAGAGGCACAGAGGTGCAGTGGGTGGTGTTTGGGGGCAGAAAATCATGCCGCAGAGCTGCCACGTGGAGTGGGGGCGGGGGGGTGCAGCTGAAAGGTGGGCAGGTTCGTTCCTTCATTCCTTCACCCGTGATCTCACTCTTTCTTCGAGCCAGCAGGCACCTAGTGAGTGGCTGTTATGAGTCAGGCGTGGATCAAGAGAGAAGTCAGCTAGACTCAGGAAGGGCAGAGTCCTCTCTTCCCAGGATGCTCAGCACAGGGGGGATTCCACGGCCACCGACTAGCTCGAGGCTTCGAGGAAATGTCAGGCGAACTGCCTGTCTTCTTGTCCGGGGCAGCTGTGAGAAAGTTCAGGAGTGACTTCCAACTGAGAAGTGAGAAAGGCTGAAAAGACTATGTCAAGGGACGGTCTCGGCAATGGCTCCCAAATAGGACTCCGTAAGTGGGTGTCAAGGTGGGTGGGGCACAGCCCTAAACCTTGAAGCAGAAAAGGTGGCAGGAGCGGGCAGCGGGTTGTCGTGTTTCTTCCCCCTCCCCCCCCACCCCCACCGTGACAGCATCTGGCAACATCTGGCAGGCAGGGCAGCGTCGCGCTCGGGGGATGGGCTCTGAATTCAGATTGCCGAGGGCCATATATCAGCTGCACTACGTTCCGGCTGTCCCTTTCCCTCTCTGGACCTCTGTCTTCCCACATGTGAAATGGGATGATAATGGTATCAGTCACCCAACCCGCAAGGCGGTTGTCCTGTTTGGGATGCAAATGAGTCACTGCACCTAAAAGGCTCCAACCAGGCCCCCCGCCGTGTGAATGTTCATTGTCAACCGCTCGGGACACCAAAACGCATTGCTGGTCGGGTAACCCCCAGGGACCATTTCTTCACGGGGTCTTTTCCCTCCAAAATGCATTGGCACACACGACAGGAAACCAGTCGACCTGAAAGGCAAAGATTCTGCCTGGTGGGGGGATCTTCTACCTCTGCCTCCCACCCAAGGTCAGGGACACCTTCTCCACACCCAACACCATGTCTGGAGATGCCAGAGGAACAGACTTTTCCAGACAAATGTGGACGCGGTGCCTTCCCAGTATGAAAATAGATCGCCCTGGGACTGGAGGAGCTAATGAAGATGATAATTAGAATTGCTTATTAGGACCTGTCTTCTAAAGTTCATTTGTGCTTTTAATAGAATCTACAATGCATCTGCTTAGCAGGGATGATAGATCTTCCTGATTTGGTGTATTTTACAACAAGATCCTTGCATCCTGCCTTCTCCGATTCCCCCACCCCCCGTCTCTGCCATCTGCTGCTGAGGTCGTCGTCCTCCACGGGAGGAGCCTTAAAATTGAGACCCGCAAACTTCTTGCAGGGAGCCCCCCCCCCCCGCCCCCAGCCAGAGAGCCAGCTGGTCCCCTCCCTCTGAAAGCACAATCCCATACAAACCACCCCCCTGCTCCTTACGCTCCAGACTGTTCTAGGTGGGAAAGTGTCCCCCGCCGAATTCACCTCCACCTGGAATCTCGGAATATGACCTTATTTGGAAACACGATCTTTGTGGAGGTGACTAGTCAGGTTAAGGTGAGGTCCTATTGGATTGTGGTGAGCCCTAATCCAAACTCGGGCATCCTTATAAGAAGACCATGTAAAGACGCAGAGGGAAGGAGGCCATGTGATGACAGAGGCGGAGATTGGAATGATGTGTTTATAAACCAAGCAATGACGAGGATTGCAGGCAACCACCAGAAGCTGGGAGAGGTAAGGGGGGGTCCTCCGCGAGAGCCTCCGGAAATGGGGCCTTGCCGACACCTTGATCTCAGACTTCCAGCCTCCAGAGCGGGCAGAGAATAAAGCTCTGTGTCTCAAGCCACCGAGCCTGTGGCGCTTTGGTGCGGTAGCCCCAGGAGACTACTACGGTGCCCGTCCTTCAGTGTCTCAAGCCTGCCCGGTTCTTGCACCCCTGCACGGGCTCTCCCAGCTGCCCCTCCACCCTGGTCCTTCTCCTACCCCAACCACACATCACCCACGCTGCCCCCGGCTTAAGATCTCAGGTTAGACGAGAAGCCTTCTTGGATTCCCCAGGCTGGGTGGGGGGTACTGTCACTGGACACCCCCGGAGCCCTGCACATCCCCTCCCGGCACTCACCACGCTTCAGCATAACGGTGTGTCCATGTCTGTCCTCACCTCCAGACAGTGGGTTTGGCCAGGGCACCGCCATTGTGGGTCTGATCCACTGACTCGTCCTCGGGGCCTGGCATCGTGCCTGGCATTCAGTGGGAGCTCGGGAGGATTCTGTGTGGTGGTAGATGAAGTGAGCAACGTTCCTGGCCACGACCAGCTGTGCTGGCAGCTTTTCTTGACTTCTGCCACCACGTCCACCATGGGGGACAAGACAGCGGCCATCATCTCAGACTTCGCCCCCGAAGGCACCGTGGGGTCCCATTCGACTAAAGGCTCTGGGAGCCGGCTCGCTGGTCAGTTGAAAATCCCGCTCTGGTTCTCCTGCCCTTCTCTTTTGTGAGGACTTCGCTCATAGATGAATATTTAATGAATTACCTTATTTAAAACAGGTGGCCTATGGGGCGCCTGGGTGGCTCAGTCGGTTAAGCTTCTGACTTAGGCTCGGGTCATGACCTCGCAGTCCGTGGGTTCGA